GGAAGTTGCAAAACTATTCAATATTAAAATAAAATGCGACAATAAAAAATAAAAACCTTTTATATATATTTATCCAAAATCCAGCTATATTTGATAATTCTCACTATGCGCTCTAATTGAAATTGTTCAGAGGCATTCAGGCAATTGGAGGGACCGAATAAATTAGTTAGAGCCAAAATGTTTCCTTGCGGATCTGTAAAAACTTTGGAAACATAAGGAAGCGTTTCGAAAGATTGCGCCAATACATCATGATGCTCGGCAGTCATGGGTGTGCTGCAAAAAATATCCATAAAAAGAGCGAAATCAGTGAGATAAAAAGCATCTTATTTCTCGCATTGTCCGTAATTTTTTTGCATCAGAAATCGAAAAAACCCTGTCGAATTACACGCACCATCGAGATCGCTAGTGAATTCTTTTTAGTTGTGCTTCAGTGCTTAAAATAAACCGAGGACATTTTCTTTGGGTGAAAACTTCCAGTCATTCTTGGAGATTTCCGAAAACCTTATAAATTAGTTATCCAATTATACGCCGTAGACAATTAATGGGACTGAAATTGATAAAGAATTAAATAATGTTTTGCTTGATTGAACGCAATTTAATTTATATGAGAACAACAGTGAATAATCCAATTGTCATGTGTTTACTGCAAGAAAATATATAAATTTAAATTCAATTAAACAGCTCAAGAGTCATTCATTTTCCTGCATCATGCTTTAATATAATGAGGCATCTTAATTCAGCCAGAGAAAAAAACGTTTACCTTGAAATCTGCATTTAATTGATCGGAATAAATGATTGAATATCGACGGTCTTTTAAGTTTTTTATACAGAGTGTTTTTTATGACGCGAATATTCAAGAGCGTAATTCTTTTGTAGGTACATGGGGATACATTGTATTTTTTGGTTAAACTATATCTGGTACTACCGTTCGTGCGAACTTATACAACAAAAGTTTTTTTAAATTAAGAAAATTTTAAAATTTTCCGTTCAATTTAAATGATAACAGACCTCTTGAGATTTTATCCTGTAATCGACTGCAGGAAAAAAATCATGGGAACTTTTATCTTTTAAACTGAATGAAGAATTTAGAAATAATTTTATTTTGGAAAAACTGTTGTCTTATCTATGCACGCATGCCCAACAATACCAAAGGACATTTTTTTAAATAAAAATACGCCTCTTTCGATTAACTGTCGCTCTTTAAAGTTTTAAATGTCTCAATTGATACTTGAGCTTAAAAAATCCATAATTTGTGTGCAGTTTTTGATGATTTATGCGACTTGCAATACTCACTCGATACTCCATCTCATAATTGCATAATCGGTAGTAAGATAGTAAATAAGCCCGTTTCTTAAATCGGCTTCCAACGCACTTGTCGGGCCCAGAGTTTCACCATGTAGTGTTACCGATACATTTGCTTCAATTGCATTCTTAAAAACACAAAC